AGAGCTTCAGCAAGCCGTGTTCAGACACAGATATCATAAGACACTCAAGGCGAAGAGTCCTCCATCCTGAATCGCAATTTTACCTGTGAGCTCACAAAATCTGAATTATTTGTCAAGAGGAAGAGCACCAAGAAGCACCCAGCTTTCCTCATCTATCTGCCTTAACAACAGGGTAAGTCAGTGTTATGCAAGCACGCAAAAGGAAACCTCTTTGAAGATCAATGTTCAAAACATACATCTGGGTTAAATGGTTTTTCATGCAGTCTGGGGACTCAACAGCTGTGCATGTAATAAACTAAAAATGAGCAAACTAAATACAAAGTAATCACTTACAACTGCAATTGAATCTTAAAATGCCTTGTCAGTAGATACAGCTAAGCTAGTGCTCTCTCTCTGCCTCCCAATTACAGTTAAAAACACCACATTGCTGTATTTAATATTCAATAATTTCTTCAATATTACAAGGAAGTACTTTCCCAAGAAGCTGAAAACTATTAAACGTCAACAAATCAAGGTGTTAGCTGTACCAAAGAAACCACATGCACACATATCGCTTATGTGGGCTTATTGTGCTAGTAGTCTCTCAGGAACCAACAGGAAACCCTGTGACCAGGCAAACAGAGCCTCACAAGATTCCCTCCTAGTTGCTAAATGACTGCAGTTATTGTACTGAAGAATGACAAAGCATCTGCCTGGTGTTCCTGAAAAGTGTGCCTATATTTCATTGAACCAAAAAAATGAATGTCCCAGTAAATTACAAGAGGAAAATAAGTGGTCTCACCAGCTTCCAGAAACAGCTTTTCTCACGCAGCTCAGATCTGTCTTTCTTCAGACAAAGATAAAACCCTTAAAAAGCTAAAGCTGCAAACCAGCCCACATTGCAACAAAGTATGTTTTAACAGCCCCAGAAATTTTAGTCAGTATGTGGACAGCAGTTCACTTGGACTGTAGTACGTAACGAGTGTAAGCCATGTATTGTAAGACGAAAAGGGTTTAGTACTTAACTCCCCAAACTGGAGGCAGTTTTACCACACCACTGAAAACTGTGTATTTCATCAAAAATACCACAAATTTCATTTAAGATTACCTGTAAACCGTGTCCTCCATAATCCAAACTCAATGGGCTTAAAAGATTGTCTACTTCTGTTTGGTTGGTTCAGTCAGAAAAATGATTTCTCACTGATGCCAGGATGTTCTTCAGCAGCATTCACCTTAACTGTTTGCTTTACCACTGTTTCCTTCATCACATTTGCTGACCCTGGTTTCTTCATCACACTTGCTGACCCCGGTTCCTTCATCACACTCGCTGACCCTTCTTCTGTGATTATCCATACCTTACTCAGGAAATTCTTCCACTTAACTCAACAGGGCATTACTTTTGGAACTTTTGGTTTTGACTTCAGCCACACAAGGATTGTTGTGCTTGGTGGTTCACTTAGGTTCACTGGAAGTCTGATTTGGATACTGTATATTGATTCATACACTCTCTATTGTTAACACATTTCAAGTGTATGTAGATTTGTGTGTGTGCGTGCACGTGTGTACATACACACAGAGGAGGTAATATTTTCCAAGATTAAAAGATTCACCCACCTGAAACCATTCAAAAAGGAATTACCTCTTCAAAATTTGTAGTAGTTTTGAAAACCTCAATACACTGTAGATGGATAAACACCGTAGATGGATTAGACACAGATCAATTAATTAGTTTTTGCTGAAACTTACAGTAAGTAACCAGTATCAAACTAACTGTGGAGAGACCAGCACCCCATCATAATACAAATACATACTCACACACACAATCTCACCAGTAACATTTGTGCCTAGTGGAGAAAAAAAGCGTCGAAGTAAGTATAATAAAACAGCCTCAGCAGAATCACTTAATTAGTGGAAAGTCTAGCGATTTTGAAAACCTTGGGAACTTGTCAGACTACTAGTTGGAGGAAAGTCCAGCTCTGTATCTAACAAGGTCCATTTCTATTCAGTACATTTGTTTATTTATTCTCCAGATGGAACAGGGAATAAAAAGCAGATATGCATGAAACCAGTAGACACAGCTCTCTTTTGTTTAGGATCATCTATTGTTGAATCATTTTTCACTTCAGCCAAAGGGCCTGTTTCAACTTCCTGACTGTTCATCACACATAATCTGGAGTATTTAACATTACGTCAAGAAAATTGCCCACTGCTTCCCACCATGGAAACCTATGGGAGCTCTATATCTTTAAACCAATTTTACTTAAAGTATTCCACTGAATAGCATGACTGTCTCACTATAATCAGTGCAGCAGTAATGTAATTAATCTCAAAATTGCTGTGGGGAGTACAAGGCATCTCAGTTGCTTGTTATAACAATCTAAATTAGTGTATTACTGAAAGATGTTTGGGAGGAACAGTTCATTTTAGGTAAATGCTGTCAGGGTATCCATCCTTTCTATTTCTAAAGCTGAAATTAAAACTATCATCACAGTTCTCCTTTTGAAATCCAAATAAGTGTGTTTTGAGGTGGGAAAGTATAATTAAATTTGATGATTTGATGTGGTATTCATACAGATGCAGTTCTGCATTTTATAATAATTAAATTTGTTGGAATAAAAATTCATGTTTTATTTAGAAAAGAGAAACTGGTTTGGCTCAAAGCATGCCATTGTATCAGAACAATTCCCTTTTGTCACTGAAATTTCACAGACGGCTGCCTCTTTTCCTAAGCAAAAAAAAATATTCTTGCTGTTCTACTTTCTGTACAGCCATCCTTTAACTGTTCTATTTAGAGATATTTTGACTGGGCAACTCCTCTGATATACAGCATATCTCAGAGGTGAACTTTCAAGAATTAAATTTAAAAGAGTTTCCACTAACAATAGTGATTAATAAATTGCAGAGAATAGCTGATGCTGATGCAGACGCCTGGAATCCCACACTTGGTGTTGTTTAATCCTGTCCCCTCTTTTCAGGAACTAAACCAAACACCAAATGAAAGGAAAAACATTACCCTAATATAAAGGCTACAAAAGGTGATGAAAGTAATAAATTGAGGGCAATTTGGCCTGTTATTCCCTACAGTGCCACAACACAAGAATAGGAAGTGTTTTCAGTTTGCTACTACTCTGAAAAAAATCAGCAAATTTTATTTTTTTAAGTCTAAAGATTAATCTTTCAATCTCAGATAAGGGAAGAGAGTAAGAATCTTGTTGGGCAAAGAACTGAAAGAGCTTCTCCTGCTCAATGAATATATTCCCCAATGTTAAAATCACAAGACTGCACATTTGCCAACTGTCTCAAAGTCAGATACTTCATTGAGATGTTGTATTATTTTAGCGATGATCCAAAGCAGAACACTGAACAATCCAGAGAGATTATCACCTAATCTGTTCTTTTAATATATATAAGAAATCAAAATGTAAGTAAAACAAGCACTGAATAATTAAAGAAATGCATAACAGTAAGGGTCTGATTTTAATTTGCATACTTTTTCCCTTAATAGTGCCTAATTAAGACATCAGTTTAAAAAAAAAAAATCCAGCAGAACTCGAAGATTTTCCGCACTGAATTAACGTTAAGGACTTTTAATGGATGTCTTAATTAGACTTTGTTATTCATGGAAATTTTACACAAATTAAAATCAGGTCCTGCATGCAACATTCCCAGCTGAGTCTCAGAAAAAATGCTATATGGGACTGAAAGACTTTTAATCCATGCACAGCTAGCAATTTGTATTCTAAAACCAACATACACCATTTTCACTTTCTGGTTTAATTTGCATTAATATTGTACCCAACAAAAATCACATAGTTAGGATTTCTCCCTTAAAGTAAATTTTGATTTTATGTACCCCTTTTTTTTTTTTTTTTTTAAATACATAGAAAGTCATGCAGCTGGACCAGAGCATTAGGCCGGGAGACAATTGCCACAGTGACCTTCTGAGCAGCCCAGAGGGGCCGTATCTGTTATTCAACATAGAAAGTTTGATTCAGTCTCAAGTTCTATTGCTGTTGTGCCTGAAATGCACACTGAAAGGCTTTTCATTATTGGTGAAAACTAAACCAAAACAAAGCCCAAAACAAAATGCTGTCACAGCAACCCCCCTCATCCCTTGTAAGACAGTCCTTCCAAAGGAACTTAACTCTTAGGAGCAGGAAAACCTGACCATTATCTCTTACATTCCCAAGGCTCGTCAAAAAAACATGTTACAGCACAAGCTACAGGGCTCCACGGGAGCCTTTCAGACAGGGCATCAAAAATACATGACAGCCTGACCAGCAAAGATTACGTTACACTGACACTGGAAATATTCCAAGTATCAACAGACCCAAGTCTCAACTGTAGTTTATCCCACAGTGCAGATCACATGCTAATGCTATGGGCTGAGGCTATCAGCCTCACACAGTCCTTCACAGTCACTTCGCTAACGAAAACCATGTTAATTTCTCATATTAGACACAAGTCTGCATCAGTGTAGCAGCCAGGAACTCATCTGTTACTCCACGTGCTCTACAAAAGGAAGAGAAAACAATTTTGCAGCTCTGTGTTGTGCTCACTACAGTAACGTCTTTGCATCTCTGCAAAGAAATGCCAGGTGCCTATGGAACAAGGCCATCATTACCTCCCCAGAGTTCATTTTCCCTGTCTGTCTACAAACATACCCGTATGTCCACACGTGTGCACGCTTGCCCGTGCATGCACCTGCACACTCCTTGCTCTTCTGCCGCCGAGGCGTCCAGCCCACGAGAGGGCTGTGGGATGAGGACCTCACCTGTCAGCACTGCTGGGTCGTTCTGTACAAGCGTTTTTCTTACGCTTGACAGAGGAACACTGAGTGCATACAACTAACCTGCACTCTTTATTCAATCATGCTGCACAGGAAAAGTCGCTGGATCGCTTGTACACCAACTCTCAGCTTGCTCTGACACCAGAACTAGTGAGATACCGGTCTAGACACCCTGGAAGACACACGTTCCTCACAGAATTTCTTTTGGAGGGTACGCATTATTTTACAGTACCTGGCTAGTCTGCGGGCTGGACGGGTCGTAAGAAGGTACATAATTCTTCAGAGTATCCTGAGGATTCAGGTGGGGAGGATATCTGATCGTTGGATGAGAGAAGTAGCTAGACGGGGCAGGAGGAAGAATAGCTTGTGCTGGAAATGGCAATGGTGAAGGTGGAGGCGGAGTTCTAGTTGAGATGACTGGAGAAGATAAAATAAAATTAAAATTACTTTGCATCTTGTTTCTTCTAAAATTCTTCACCCCTGTGTTTCACCAAGAAAATTAAAAAGTCAGTTATAAATCAGCACACTGCCCTCCTGCTTCATGGCATCTTTATAGAAAAACTTCACATGTCCTCCCCTCACATCATCCCAGGCAATCGAAAGTGCTACTGTTTCAAATTCATCTTGATTTGGTTTTGTGGGTTATGCCATCATATTTTTTCATATTTTCTTTAAACAGTAATTATTCTCCATCATAAAAAACATTATACAGTTTTCCCATCTGGAGCTCAAATAAACAAAACAAAAACTGTATTCAGTAAATAAAACCTACACTTTTATCCACTCCAAAAGAGGAGGGCAAAGTCACCAAGTCCTAAGAAACAGGTAGTGAGTCCTCACTGCATTGCACTCTACCTGCCTCATGGGAGGACAGGCTAATCATCAGTAATGCCATGAATATTAGCTAACATTCATGAAAATGCTAACGAACATTCAGCTTCAGGGCCTGGGAAACCAATCCATCCAATAAAAATATCTCTGAAAAACAAAAAAGTATCTACCCTATATATATTTTCCTTTTCATTCTCTTTCCTCCCAGACCCTACAAACACACACGTCTCTATCTATAGCTTCTATGTAATGTCTAAACAACCAGCAATGTTTTTACAGTGAAAGGAATGTACAGCATGTCCTGCTGCTGCCCAGTCAGCTGGCTGGAAGCGGAGGGTGTTCTTCTATCAAACTGCACAACAACCCACTTTCCACCCTTACTGCACATCTAGAGGGCACCTGCTTGTCAATGTATTAAAAAGGAGGTCCTGAGTTCAATGGAAATGGAGAAAAGACAACGGTGTTTCCATTTTCATTAGTGGGACGGTACAAAATCAGGTCTAAGCAAGGTATTTTATAAACTGCTCACAGTTCTATACTGTATCAGCACAAGCATACCAACACTGCTGTTCTGGACCACCTCTCACACCTTTGCATTTTTTCAGCTCAATTTTTAAATGACTTGCTATTTTTGAGCTGGGACCAACTCATAGTTTGCCCAAGCAAAAACAACAGTAGGAATATTTCAAAATTGCTGTACTTGGTAATCAGAACTTTGCAACTCTCAAAACCATTGCTCACTGACATAATAGAACAGGCTACACAGACAGAAATCAGGTTTTCTAGCAAGTAAACAGCTCATCTACAAATTAGGTTATGACTGCCACCCAAATATATATATATAGATCTAAAAATTATACACTAACACAAATCTAAAGATCTACACATAATTATAGGGCCAAAAATAGTTATGGAAGCTGCTTTTGTGACAGGCTTATGCTAATCACAGCCCCACCAGTTCAGTTTAATCATAAAACATTAGTTACTGCTCTGACACATGGGAGCTGTACAAAACAAACACGAGCAAGCAGAAATCTATCCTTTCCACTTCACCCATTGATGGGCTTTGAGTTGCTTGAGTATTTGCTAGTAGTGGAAACCTTACAGCGACCAGAATGAGTCCAGGCTGACTTTCATAACACAAAATAGTGGATGTTAAGGGGAAAATGGTCCTTCCATATGAATTTCAAGAGAGGAACTTGAATTCATGGAGAAATCACAAAACAGAAGCTTCTCAGAGCAGAATTGCATGCTAAAGAAAAGAAGAAAGAGTCCTCAAATCTTCTTTACTCCTCTAGTCACCCAGCTCTGCTCAAGAAATTAATCTCCTTATATGCAACTTATAAGGAGACATGATGAGCTGCTGAGGGGAGACTTCTGAGGACCATGTTCTCATCTGAAGAATCAGGGTCACTCCCACCTCTAAAATTAAACAGACCATGATGCTGGAATTTCCCTGTCATTCCTGATAAACCCTCAAGATAACATGCATTCCATCACCTTTCAAGTGTCTCCTTCACACTTGAAGTGAAATTTTACTATGGATTTACGAAGAATTTCAGAAAACAGATGTTGAAAAATATTTATCAGGACTCTACCTCTTTAGACAGAGCATGCAGAAGAAGAACTGGTACTTACTTTACTGTGCCACATAGTGAACACAGTTGTGACTTCTCTTATGTAATCCTACCTATTTTGATACTTAAATACAAAAGAGTCGTAGTCAACAATAATAAAAAAGGATGTAGGTGGAAGAAGGAAAGACAGGGAAGATTTTTTTTCTCTGTCAGTTTCTTCATGCAGTTTACAGTTTATTTTATTCACTGCTTAATCCTAAATTCTTTCCAGTGACTTGCAGCAGACTACCTGCACTGAGTTTAATGAGCATTCCCGCAAGGATACCCCAACCTCTCCCATTTCAACTCTCATCAGTATTATAAATGAGATTAGGTCTCTAAAAAAGTCTGCAAAAAATGCTTCACAATCTGATTGTAGGACAGGAGAGCAGACCAAATGAATAGGGAGGTATTTCTCCCTCCTCCATAACCCTCACCGCTGTGTGCAACTCCTGGGATTCCTGGGTGGTGATGCTGGGGGAAAGTGCTCAGTCTTGGTGAAGAATCCTGGGGAGAAGTAGGACTAAACAAAGGCTTTTCAGGTTTCTTCATTGTAGGAGAAGACATATCTGCAACAGAAAAACAATGCAACAGTGACATCAGCTTAGAAGCCTGTCTCAGGACACATCATTCTGTAGACTGAAGATATTTATTTTTACTGTTCTTGCATAAATATTGTTTGGTGACTTAACTCCCCTGTGACCAATAAACTAATTTTAAACTATCGCTTTCAAGCTTGAGAATGAATAATAATCCCCTAAGTGGTCTTTGTCCTGCTAAACAGAAACTACATTCCTTTCATACCAGACAAGCCAAACAGAGAAGACATTCATGTCTTCAGAACCTCCCTAGACACTTCTCAGCTCCCCAGAGCATCACCAAATCATCTGCTCCTTCAACAGCCACATAAACTTTATTACGTTTTTTTAATGGAACACCTACACTCAGGGTAACTGCCATATGCATCCTGGTTTATGGTATTTATTATTTTGGTATTTCAAAGCCTATCCCTTACCCTTCCCAAAACCATAGCAAAACAATGTAACCTCCCTAAGAATAAAGGATACTTTAACTTCTCTATCGCATATTTTCCATGTCTCAAGTAGGGCCTTCCCACCTTTTCCTTCCAGTTTCCCTATCAACAAAAACATCTCTTTAAAGCTCACTGTGTGAAGATAAAAGACTATCAGGGACAAATGTACGATTTCTGCCATGCAGGGTTACTGATATTGCATAAAGCAAAAACACTGGATTCTTTCTGAAAGTTTAAACGAATTAAACATTTGTCAGAGTTTGCACCAAATTATTTCAAAGTTAATCATAATATTTTTATAGGACACACATCAATATCGTAAGTGGATTCCATTTCAAATCAATGGGACTAACTCTTGTTTAAAGCAAAGGTCATTTCTTAAGTACTTTACTGGACTGGGGCCACATTGCAGCGGGCTTTCCTACACGGACCATGTTAGCCCTTAAAGTGATTTTGGTGCTTTTAATATTGTCACACTGTAACTGTGCTGTTCTGGGGGACATTCAATCATCTTCGAAGCCAAAGACAGGCCTGCAAAACGTGAGCAGTTTACTGAGACCAGATGGGACCAGTCCTTTCTGAACTGGCTGGAGTTTACGAGTGGGTTTTCACCCTGAAAGCCTTACTTAGAGCAGGAATCATAAAACAGAGACCACTTGTCCACCCTGCCTCATCCGCTGTCAAGTCCTGCACAGGTGCTGGCACCGGACCCAGAGCAGACTCTGCCAGTGCCCCTCCACCATCCCCCGGCAGCTCCCCTGCACCCCTTTGGTCCTGACTGATAAGCCTGCTGATTTCCCAGATGCCCTGCAAGGTTAACCTCCTGAAGAAGGCTGTTGAGAAAGGATTTCATTCAGCAAAACACTCGTCAAGAGAGAGGAATTGCTTTACAACAGCAATTCCGCACTCATTCGGTTTTAACAGATATGACAAAGGTTACTGTATGCTTTTTATCATACTGATCTGTTGCAGTTTTATGTTGTTATCAAAAACATGCAGTGCTGACAGAGGCACCTCTAGATGTCTTCTAAAAATTCAGTAAATAAATTGCTGTTGAGGAATTAAACTGAGGAATATTTTTTTCTTCGAATCTCTTAGCAAGTAGCAAAGACACAGTTGCCAAATGGTTACAGTTTTGCTGAATACATTAAGCTAAGCTAAGAAATAATTACAAAAATTGCAGGACTGCATTCTTTCAAATTAAGTTTTGCATAGGTAAACCATGATAAGAAAGCATATTAATTCTGGAATGATTTTCAAATATTTCATTATGTTTTATTTTCTGCTCAAATTACATCTCCAGCTTCTTCATATAAGGCCCTAGTTCCAACAGAGCAAGAAAATTCTCACACCTCTGCAACAGACGTAGGGTTTTATAAAAGCCCAGGACAAAATTAACCAGCTACTGTCTCTGTACTACGGTTCTGTGCATGCACGATCTCTGTCTCTGCAGAAACGCTGCAATGTTACAGCCTGAGAAAAAAGAGAAGTGTGCATCATAGCTTGTAGAGACAGCCTCTCACTACAACACTGTGGTCATCACTAGTTGTCACAGAACCTATCAGTGATCAAACATATTGTTGACTCTACCACATACATAGGCTATCACAAAAGAGAGAATGTACAAACTGTTGAATTTTATTTCAGACTAAAAGTACTGCACTCAAGTCTCTCTAAGGAAAAAACAAACCATGGGCTGGAAGTGGAAAATATTTTCCTTATGGAAAGCTCATATTCAACAAAAGAACTCATGAAAGAAAGAGCTGCCTAGCTCCTGAAGGTCTTCATGTGTCAGCAGCTCTGATGTCTGGAATGCAACAGAGATTTAATTTGGTTGGTGACTGTTACTTCATTAAACAAGCAACAGTTATTATGTTTTTTCAAAACCAAAATAGTTCAGCTGCTGGAAAGAAGTATGCTATATGAAGTGCTATGTAATCAGAGTGTCCATTAACCCCCTAGTGGCACCACTAATTTGAAAAGAATCTACTAAAAAGGAGATCGGTGACTATGATAGCCCGAGCATTTGCTTTAATTTATTCCTGCTCCTGCTTTATGGAGGTAAGAACTGTAGTTAGCACATCGAAAACAGAGAGCATAATGATGTCTTTACGAAGTTCATTGCATTTACATAGCAAATGCAATGAAATTCTTATACAGAAGACTGTTTCCTCATCAAGGTGAGTGCGACTGGTAGTCAGCAACAGAAAATTCAGCACTGCCATAAGAATGCTCGTTACCCACCGAAACAGTGACTTTTACATACACTGCACAGCACACCACCACGAAGCACTTTCAGAAGAAGTCTCGTTATACATAGCACAGGCAATGGCAACGCAGAACGGCTGAAGTATAGGCAGCAGCTTCTTTGTTAAAACAATGCACTTCGCACTGAGAAGTAATTCAGACAGCCCTCTCCCCCCGCAGCCCCTGTGGCGCTCCCCGTGTGTGCCTGGCCGTCATAACGCAGCTTTCATGTTCCTGCCACTGCCGAGTAACAGATGCAGGCGACTGCGGAGACAGAACAATAACTGTTTGTATAGGTTAGGAAGAAAGGCTGCAGCCTTCTCCTCCTTGACCAAGAGAGGAGGCTTAGAGCTTTAACAGGAAAACACACAAGTTGCATTTCTTTGGCGAGTTACCAGTTACAAAATCTGAAAAATAACAATAAAAACACAAAGCTTTTTTTCACCGTCTTTAATTTTGCTCATAAGAAACAGAGCCTTCAAATAGAGCAGAGTGAGTTAAAAGTGACAGTGAGACTTCGTATGACTTTACTAGTACCTTCTACATAGCAGAAAACACACTTTTTTTCTAATTTTAAAACAGGCTTTATTTTTTCCACATGAGACATAGTCTAGTAGCTGCATAGAGCTCAGTTATATACTGATAATTACATAATGAATGACAAACAGAGGTCACAAAAATAGGTCACTTGCTCTTATGTCTGTGTTGAAGTGACAGGAATGAGATTCCAACCCTTATTACTTTGAGAATGAAAATAAAAGAGTTTCAAGTGTGATTTATTTTAAGACTTTTGGAAAAAATACTAAGTACAGACGAAAAGCAGAAAAATGCCAAAAACACTTGGACAAAGTTATCTAAAGGTCAAGATTAATCAGACACTGTGTCCTGTCCTGACAAGAATTTTCTTCCAAGGTGAAAAATGGGCTTTGTTGTGTTTTTTTTTTTCAATTCTGTGTTGTTCCAAATCCCTTTTGCCTGTACTCTCATGTAACCGTGGAGATAAAGTTATGTATGCACCCAAAAGGGTGGCATGTTATACATTTTAAAGCATCACATCAAAGAAAAAAGGGCTTATGCAAATAAAAAGAGTTAGATCATCTCATCTCCCAACAAGGTAGATGTGTCTACGTAGGAAGGCAGAAGAGCTGCTGTGAAGCATAGCATATGTAGCCTGTTCATCAGCAGCTTGCACAAGTGGTGCTCCAGATGTATAGCTGTTCAAGACAGCCCAAGGCAACAATTTTGATCAATTCTAATGTGACAAAATGCTGTGGGGAAAGTGTGTGGAAATGTGTTTACATCAGCCTTTAATTAAACCATTGTTCACTTCCGAAGAACCTTAGGAAACACTAACGAGACATGAGTTTTTGCAATTTCCTCATCAAAGCAAAGACCCTCTTCCTCAGTCCGAAGTAGCTTGTCACCCAAGTAGTTCCCTGGACGAAAGTCACCTTGGCACACCACTTGGCAAGCCACCTGCTGGGAGCATTTGCCTGAAATCAAGCAGCGATCCAGGGAAAGTTCAAACACCCACCTGCCTGTTCCTGGACACCTGATCCACTCTCTCGCTCACCACATCAACATGGCAGCTTCTCTTTCTTGCTCATGAGACACACTCATGAGCAGAGTAAGAAGAAATCATAAAGAAATGTTAAATCTCTTTTACTCCAGTTTATTCTTTAACTCTTCATATTAATATCTGTTCTACTGCTTAGCTTCACAGGTCTTTCATTACAAGGTATGCTCCTGCAGAGAACAATCTGTAAAGATTCACTTACAACTCATTAGTGTAGCATCACCTTCAGAGAAAGTAAGATAAAACAACGTTCAGCTTACTGTGCATATACCCATAGTGAAAGCAGGAAAGCTATGGAGTCCATAGCACCACCACCAAGCTGTAAGACACATCCTTCCATACCACAGTTTTAAATGAACTGCTCTTTTCCCAGAGGCAGCACCTGGGATAATTCTGGTGGCAGGACACAATGCATACATCACATCCAGCTGGGGCTCACCCTCCACTGCCTCCACCACATCTAATAGGTACGCTTCTGTGAAGCACATGTGAAAACTTTAGTAAAATTTTAAATTCACATCTGATAGCTGGATGATGATGATGAATCATGACAAATCCCAGTGTGCTCAGGAGACTCAGTTTTGTTTTACACCTGTGCATGTGAAGAATAAGCAGAGCCACTCTGCACAGGGAGAGCCAGCATCATCAAGTTTCAGATGTGCTCAGTCTGATTTCCTTTAATGCTGAAAGCATTCTGTATTTCTCATCTGTAG